TAACCATTCTAACCTAGTTAATCAACGTTTAGAACCGAGAGGGGAGATGTCAGTCGATTTAGGCTCGTATAGAGTAGACATGTTCGGAAGTGGATTGTCTATTTGTTGCTTGTTTCATTGAGTTTATCGTTTATGTATGTGCTCTTGTTACGAAGAGTTATTGAGCATAGCCCTCTAGACGTATAAGCTTGTTAAATCTCGTAACCGAACAAATAATCGTTCAACATAGTTTGAGACTTGATGAGATATTGAGCATAGCCCTCTAGACGTATAAGCTTGTTAAATCTCGTAACTGAACAAATAATCGTTCAACATAGTTTGAGACTTGATGAGATTTCCCAACCCCTAGAACTTCTTCTATTTCTCTAGCAATTTATTTATTATTTCATTATTCGCTTTCCGAGTTCTAATTAGTTTTAGATAGTTCTCCAAATCATCCTTAATTAGAGTGTTTAAAATTTATTTTCTTTTCGTGTGTGATTAATACCAACCATTGTTTTGAAAACCGAACCGTTCATCGAACCGGTGAAGCTACCGGTTCAATGGTTCACTGGTCGGACCAGTGGTCGAACCGGTCGAACCGGTTTTATTAATATATAATTTTTATATATATTTTATATGTATAATATATAATTGCATGTATTTTTATCAAGTATATAATGATTTCTCTATATACAAAATAAATGTATTTATTTCTTGTCATTAGTATTATTTGTATAATATTTAATTGTATATATTTTTTAAATTAAATGTTAAATTGTCAAACTTGTTATGATAGGTTTTAATTTATTTTGTAAAATTGTAAATTTGTAATAATAATATAATATCTTATTTTATTCTATTTTGTTTTTATATAAACGTATGCAATTCAACTGCAATTTAACAAAAGTTTGCAATTTATCTGATTGTACAAATTATTGCAATTTTGTTTTGGAGTCAGCTGTAAAAGGTCAGCCTCTTTGGTTGATCGATCTTGTACATAAACTTTTTGAGTTTAATTAAAGTTCTTTCGTTTTTTGAAAAAAAAAAAAACAAATTATTGCAATTTAATAAACGTAAATTTACAATTTGCATACATTTGTACAAAAAAAAAATGGCCCAAAATAAGTATAACATAATGAATTAATGACACCTACTATCTATTTGTTTAAACAGTTTAGATAATTATCCCAACCTATTATTTAGACAAAATTACCTCTTTTGTTTCTAATAACACCTTTTTTAGAAGTTCTTTTTTGAATTGATAACTGATTGGTTTTTCCCTCTCCTTTATCCTTCTCTCTCTCCACGAAGTTGCTTCCTTCTTCTTCTCTTTTTCTTATCTTCCATTTTTTCTTATTTTTTTTTTCTATTCATGATTTTAATTTTTTTTTTCAAAATTGCGCTATTGATTTTCCTTCTTCTTCTCCTTTTTTTTCCTTTTGTGTGAAATAGATTTTTTCTAATATGATTTTCTAATAATTTTTCATAAAATCCACATCCCAATCATGGTACGACGCCTGACGCCCAGTACACCTATCCGAATCTAG